TTGCTAAGATACCATTAATTTCTTCACAAATGTTCTTAGGAATTTTAAAAACATTCATGGAGAAAATAGGCATAGCTAGGGAAACCGATTTAAGGAGAACTTCTTTACCACCTTGAGAAAGGAACCCCTTATTCCATCATTGGGTTCTTTCCTGCACCTTATCAATAATGTACTTAAACATTTCACTCTTCTTGGAGCCAAACTGTTCTGGAAGTCCCAAGTATTTCCCATGACCTCCATCATTGTGGATACCAAGTATATTGCGCATATACCTTTTGGTAGTTTCCTGGACTCTACTTCCAAATGTAATAGATGATTTCTGGAGGTTGACCGCCTGACCTGATACCATTTCATATACAGATAGGATCTGTTTAATGGTCCTGCATGATCTCGCATTTGCCAAAGTAAAGAATAGAGAATCATCTGCAAATAGCAGATGATTTATCATTGGGCTTGTGTTGCTAATTTTGATGCCTTGTAGTCTCCTCTCAGTCATTGCTTTGTTCATGAGATGTGATAGAACTTCAGCACAAAGTATGAAAAGATATGGAGATAAGAGATCTCCTTGGCGAATTCCCCTTTCTGGTATGACTGATCCAAACTGTTGACCGTTAATTAGCACTGAAAAACTAACAGTAGAAACACACGTCATTACCCAGCTGATCCATCTTGGACTGAACCCCATTTGATTCATTGTTTCAGCCAAGAACCTCCATTCTAGGCGGTCATATGCCTTTGTAATATCCGTTTTTATCGCCATATAGGATTTTGACTGACGCTTGCGAGCTTTGAGACTATGGAAAACTTCATGGGCTATAATGATATTATCCGTTATCATTCTTCCAGGGATGAAAGCCGCTTGGTTTTCAGTTATCAATCCTGACAGATGCTTTTTGAGCCTATTGACCAGTATTTTGGAGATTACCTTATAAGCAACATTGCAAAGAGCTATCGGTCTGAAATCCTTCATTGTCTCAGGTGGTGTAGTTTTGGGAATAAGGCAAATGTTGGTGTGGTTATGGCAGGGATCTAGAGTACCCTCTTGAAAGAAACTGCGAATCTCTTTCAACAATGCAGGACTGATCTCATCCCAAAACTTTTGGTAAAAATCACCAGAAAAACCATCAAAACCAGGTGCTCGATGAGGGCCAATATCAAATACAACTCTCCTGATTTCTTCCAGTGTTACTTCTGATGTAAGGTCACCATTAACCTCTGGTGTAACTCGTTGGTGGAAACCTTGAAAGACTTCTGTATATAGAGCTTCAGGGCATGGTTTAGAGGTGAAAAGCTCTTGAAAATAATTTAGTGCAGCTTGTTGGATTTCATTTTCCCCTCTTTTAATCAACCCTTGATCGTCCTTAATGGAATTGATTCTGTTTCGAGCTCTCTTTGTCTTTGTGGTGGCATGGAAGAAACGAGTGTTACGATCTCCTTCATTTAGCCATTTGACTCTGCTCTTTTGTTTCCAAAATATCTCTTCATCCATATATGCTTGATTAAGTTGACTCTGGAGAGATTTCTTCTCTGCAATGGTTAGAGTTCCAGCTGATATTCCTCTATCCAAACGTTTCCTGATAATTCCAATTTTCTCTGCAGCATTGGGTCTGTTCTTCTGCTTCCATTGAGAAATGTGTATCCTGCAATTTTTGATCCTTGAAGATAGGTCCAAACGAGTTGTCTGTCTTACAGGTTGATGGTTCCATCCTTGAATCACTGATTCCTGGAAGCCCTCTTTATCAAAGAATCTGCAGTCATAATGAAATCTCCCTTTTTTGTTTGCAGTGTCTTCCGACATAAACGTTATAAGAAGTCGATGGTCTGATTCAATGAATTCCAAATACTTGATTCAATGAATTCCAAATACTCTGTCTCTGAAGCCGGATATAATTGGTGCCATTCAGTTGTTGCCATAGATTTATCAAGACAACATGAGACATTATGCTGACCTCGTTGTCCAGTCCAAGAAAATTTATCACCAATGGTCTTGAGCTCTGTAAATTCACAACTTCTGGTCATACGTCTGAAATCTCGAAATGATTGATCTGGTCTTGGAGGCCCTCCTTTTTTCTCATTGTTACCAAAAAACTCATTGAAATCGCCAATGATGAACCATGGTTGACCTCTTCTATTTGTTCCAAACCTCTCTAATCTCTCCCAAAGATGATTTCTCATCTTAATTTCAGGGTGATCGTAGACAAATGAAGAGAAAAAACTGATTCCATTGCATTTGACTAAACAGTCGACAAGATTAGGAGATTGCAAAAAACAGAAACATCAACTTCATTCTTCCAAAAGACAACTAAACCACCACTTAAACCTACCGGTGGAACTATTACATGCTTAGACAGACCTAACTGGCAACCAACATCTCGAACATAGTCATTCTGTTGTTTTGTCTCTGATAGGTAGATGATGTCCGGGAGATAAGATCGGTTTATCTCCTTGAGGCGTCGAACTGTCAAATCAGATCCCAACCCTCGACAGTTCCAATGTAGTACTCTCATGGAGGCAATGGTGGTTCAGGGCCCACCGCGCCTCCAACGGTCTGGTTCGTGGTGGTAGACAAGTCACCACCGCTGCTGTTTCCTACATCGATCCCCATTTCCCTCTTCCTTGTTGCAGTATCCTCTTCATCGAGATTTCTTTTACGGTGTAAGTATCCCACAATGTCTTCATCAAAGGCAGCATAGTCTCGAGCTATTTGCTGTTCTGCAATCGTAAGTTCACCATGCCTGAGATCAGCACCAGGCACATCACCAGTTGCATTTTCGTAGATGGGAACTGGATTATACATCTCATCCATGTCAAGTTCCCCTCTCTCCATTGGATTCGCAAACCCGGCATCAACGTCAATCATTGGATCTTCCTCCTCTTCGATCCTTTGCACTTCTTCAAGTGGTATGACCTCCTCTGCAATGACTTCTTCATCATTGTTTTCCTCCGGAGGTCCATCCTCATCTTGTTGTTGAGGGCCATTTGGAAGTTGTTGATCATCATTGTTGTTAGCCGCAATGATTTCATCTTCGTTCAGTTCACAGATTTGAACTACATGACCTTCATGTCTCACCACTTCTGGATCGTCCTCATCTCCATCCTCATCATCAGAGATGTGAATTGCACCACCATTTTGCACCAAACAGGCTCCTGAATCGTGTGTGATGATTCCACAAACCTCACAGAATCCTCTAAGCCTCTCATACCGGAATCTCAGCAAAGTGTTAACCCCTGGTGTGAATTGGAAATGAAGCTGGAAACGCAGGGGATGAGTGATATCCCAGTTGACACGAACCCGTGCATATTCGCGTCTTGCAATCGCTTCTGCATTGTAATCCACCTCCATGAGCATTCCAAAAGAACGCCCAATATGTGCAATGACGTCTTGGTTGACAAACTGTAGAGGAATTCCCCTGATCTGAATCCAAAACGGGATGAAGTCGAGCATTGCAAAATCCATCAACCGGTGCCCATCGTTGTAGAACCAACATTCTTTCCGCAAATGCCCAAGGTCCACAGCGAAGAACATTCTCCAATGTTTCTTCTGTCGGAAATATGAACTGGAAACGGTTATGATCATCGATTCACCCAAAGATGAGTCCTTCAAGGCCCCAAATGCGAGGAAGGTTAGCAATGATGGATCGGATGTTTTGCCTTCGAGGGATGGTGGGACGCCCCATGATGACAAACCGATTCTCGTTCACTGCTTGATTGACAACATCAATTGGGAGAGCAAAAGGTTCATCGTCAGCACCAAGGTTGAGATCCTGCACCACTATTCTCAAGTTATCAGCCATTCTCAGAAGGGTTGTGTAAAATCTCAAAGGGAAAGATAGCACTGTAGGAATTTGTGAGATGAATTGTGAGATTCTTCGAAATCTAGTTCTCCTTTTATACACTTTGTGCTTCATCGAATTTGATGGGGATAGTGCATCACTCCTAAACGTGGGTTCAAGAGTGGGAATTTCCGAAACCGAAAGAGAAATGGGTTCGTGTTTTCCATTCTCACCGGTGGATGAATAAACCGTCACCGGAGTGACCAAGATAAATCGGTATACAAACCGTTGAAATAACTGTAAAAGTAACTGTTTTTGAATCGCCTTTAGAATCGCCATCCGTTTTTCCCTTGAACAATTCTCGTGTTATGCATTTACCTGGATCAAAGTCTTTCTCATTCGGACCATTCTTCCTTTATCATTCCTTTATTTAATTGTTTCTGCTTTAAATTTAAATTTATGAGAAAAAAAAAACAAGAACACAATTACATCATAATTCCTCATTAATTACTAAGTCTACAACAATGGAAAACGAAAATGACAAATAACCCAAAATAGCAAACGTGATTAAGATGAAAAAAGGTGAATGATTGATTAGTTGCCAAAATATTTATATAAAACATTCTATGTTTAATTCAGTCACATCATTTGGAAAAAAATAATCACTGATCAGTTAATCATGAATTCAATCACATAGCACATTGACAAAATTAACCACTAATTTGTATAACCCAAAATAGCAAACGTGATTAAGATGAAAAAAGGTGAATGATTGATTAGTTGCCAAAATATTTAGATAAAATACTATGTTAAAAAAAATTAAACAAAGAATTTTATATAAACATATAGTTTTATATAAAAAATAATATGTTTAATTTAGTCACAGCATATGGAAAAAATTAACCACTGATCAGTTAATCATGAATTCAATCACATAGCACATTGACAACATTAACCACTAATTACTCTGTCAATATTCAATCACATAGCAAATTGAAAAATTGAACCACTAAACACTTAATCAACCCCAACAATTAATCAAATAGCAAATGGAAACAATTAACCATCAACGACTCAATCAAAATTCAATCACTTACCTAAAATGAAAAAATTAACCACTAATCACTTGATCAAAAAACTTTATAAAAAGAACCAAGTGACGTCGCTTTTGCAGTTGTGTAGGGCTCATCTTTCTTTTTTCTTTTTTTTTTTTTTGAACATTTGGTTCATCTTTCTTCTTCTTACCGAGTTTCGACAAAGAGAAGTAGAGAACGAACGATGACTATGTGATGTTGTGATTGTGACACCGAATTCGCAAATTTGTGGGTTAGGATTTTTGATTTGTGGGTTTTGAAGAGAATCTTGAATTAGAAGCACTCATTCTTCAATCGTGTTCTCGACTCGAGGGACAGAGACGAGGTAAGATCATCGATAAACTTCTCAAAACCACTGCTTCTTCAATTTTCCTCGTTAAATTTCGATTTAGACATTGATTTAGAGTTTAAAAGACCGACATTGGCGTTTGAAAACTATTCGAATCTCTCTTTTCTAAGTTAATCGAAACTCTGTATATGACTGCTTTTTAGTTTTATGTTTTCTATTCACATTAGTTTTAGAGTTCTCAATTTGCAAATTTTCAATTATTGATTCTTCGACTTGGGTGTTCTGTCCCGTCTTGAAAATGTGAGTTCTTTGTTCTGTTTGGCTGTATCCTCTATTATCATTGATCTTTGAATTCAGTTTCACAGATATCTAAATGATGATGTGTTGCTAACTACTAAGACCCAAAACCTCCAAGAAGGGTTTCAACCATGGGAAAGGAGAAATCTGTTTCTGGAAACACAACACCGCTCCATGGTCGCCCTGTAACTCGTGCCATTGTGTCTGCTCTGCGTGCTTCCTCTAAAATGATTACATCCTCAGAAGTGGCTGCTACAACAACACAGATCAATCAGGGTCTGGTTCTCAGATCAAAAAACAGTAAAAGAACAGCCTTGGATGAGAAGAAAGCCAATGCACATAAGAAGCAAGCTGTTCTTAAGGATATCACAAATGTTAATTCTTACACAAGTTGCTTCAATGCAGCTAAAATTCAGGTTGTTACATGGACAATGCTGCTTCTTAAATTGACAGGAAGTATGCTTTTTGTTTTTGTTTGGGGCTGAGAATTCGGTTTTTGTTTTTTCCATTTTAGGTGGAGAATATCAAGCAGAAAAAGAAGGAAAGGGCAAGTTCTTCCATGGTGGAATCATCTTCTGCTACTTCAGAAGTCACATATGAAAAGGTAGAAGTTTGGTCAAAATCAACAGGAAGTTCCACTGTGGCAAGTATCCCGAAATTCGTTGACATTGATTCAGATGATAAGGATCATCTACTCTGTTGCCTTTATGCACCTGAAATCTATAACAACCTGCGTGTTGCTGAGGTAACAACCCCATTGAATTTTTGATATCTTAGGACAATCCATTCGGATTTTTCCTAACGACTGGTCTATTACATAGCTTAAACGCAGACCATTTCCTGATTTTATGGAGAGAACACAAAGAGATGTGACTCAAACAATGCGGGGAATTCTGGTTGATTGGCTTGTAGAGGTTAGTGTTAGATCCATTTGTTTTCTTGTTGCTTAACTTTTGGAGTCTTTTAATCTACTTCTTACAAGTCAACATTTTCAGGTCGCAGAGGAATACACACTTGTGCCTGACACTCTTTACCTAACAGTATATCTCATAGATTGGTATCTACATGGAAACTACATGGAAAGACAAAGACTTCAACTGCTCGGCATCACTTGTATGCTCATTGCTTCGTAAGTTCCTTATCACCAAATTGACAATCTCTTCCCATATATCAAACAGTGCTTGTCACAAAAGCAGCATCTAAAAGAGTTTGGTTGTAATCTTGAATCTTCTTAAAGAAAGTATGAGGAGATCTGTGCACCACGCATTGAAGAGTTCTGTTTCATCTCGGATAACGCTTACACAGGAGATCAGGTCCTAGAAATGGAGAGCCTAGTAGTCAAGCATTCTAGCTTTCAAATTTACGCTCCCACTCCAAAAACATTCCTCAGGTAATCTCACTAGACAAAGTGAAAATGGTTCATATGTTGTTGTTTGTGGTCTACAGTGATTCCAAGTTTCCATTTTTTGCAGGAGATTTCTTCGAGCAGCTCAAGCTTCTCACCCGGTAATTTGCTTCTCCCCTTCTTTTTTTTTATCCCTACAAATCTTTCTATGCTCATCAAACATTTTAGCAGAAAGATTGAAACTTTTTTGGTATATTGAATATCTGCAGAACCCAAGTCAAGAAATGGAGTTTCTGGCGAATTATCTCACGGAACTGACGTTATTAGACTATCAATTCTTGAAGTTCCTTCCTTCGATTATCGCTGCTTCGGCCATTTTTCTTGCCAACTGGACAATGAACCAATTTAGCCACCCTTGGGTCTGTTCTCTTCTTCGTAAACACACAGATCGCCTCTGTTCTCTTCCACGAATTTTGAATCTTGAATAAATCTCACTCTTTTTTTTTTTGGTTTGGTGTCCAGAATCCAACTCTTGAGCATTACACAATGTACAAAGCCTCCGATCTCAAAGCATCTGTTCAGGCCTTGCAAGATCTGCAGCTTAACACCAAAGGATGCCTCTTAAATTCTATACGCATGAAATATAGACAAGAGAAGGTAAAACAAAGTTAAATCTCAGTTTGGTACGGTTTGGTTTACTCGATCGTATAATGTAACAGCTTTTTTTTTTTTGGGCTACTTGCGTTTTACAGTTCAAATGTGTGGCGGTCTACACTTCTCCGAAGCTACATGACAAGCTATTCTGAAAAGGTTAAAGCCTAAAGCGAGCGGTTCATCTCTTAACCGATGTTACTTTTCTGATGGTCCGCTTCGTCCTCATTCGTTTGTTACTCTGTCTAATAAAAACGGAAATTATTTTTCCACGGTCTCATACTTAGTAACCGGGTTACTTAGGAGTCGGTTTACTCGGGATTAGTGTAGACTTGTTTGGTTCTTCCAAACCTGATTTGTTCTTCCAAACCTGATTTGTTCTGATCGGTGATACGAGATTATTTCATTTGTTATTTTTCTTTCAACAGGCAATTTTCCGCTACAAATTATTTTGTTCTTCCTTATACATTTAGTTAATTAACAGCTACCAAAGATTTTAGAGAAACATATTAATTGGTTTAAAAGTTTAACCACTCATGACAAAGAGACAGAGATATGCATTGTTTATCACTTCAGAACATAATATTCCACCATGTCCTAGCTTCAAAACAGTTCCGACATACCAAAGTACATATTCGGTTTCAAGTACTTTAGTGGTATCAAATGGTTTCACCGTTTTATTCTTATGGAAAGATCTTTCTCAAAAGGAAAAATATTTGCTAACGAGAATAATGGTTTTGAGCGACGAAACTGATCGATGATATGTTTGAACAAAAACAACAATCAAGATAACGAAGTTGCTTCAGGGAAATTTTTTAAAAGAGTTTCGAGTTACCTTAAGCTCTGTGATACTCGTGAAGAATAGTTATCAGCCAAGTCAATGACCAAATTCACATAATCAACAGTGCAATATTATACAGCTCAGACTATGGAGACATGATCGGAAAGCTTTGCCAGTAGATCACATTAAGCTTATGCTTATTAAGAACTACAAACTATCTTGCCTCCGGAGTCTGAACCTTTACAGATTTTATGTGCAGGCATCTATTAAACGCCACCGTTTTCAGCTTTTAAAAACTTATGAATAGAATTTTTTTTTTTTTCGTCTGAAACTTCATTGAAGTGAGATAAAAGGAACCATAGTCATGAGAACATTACATAAAACGAGTATCCACTCTAAGGGAAGAGTGTTTGAGATACTCAAAAAATTAAAAACCTTGGTGAATCAAATGATGTAACCACGAAGGTCCTCCTATAGCGAGGTATGATTGGAATCTCCCGTCACGAGTCACGCTCTTAGAGATTTCCCTAGCCACTCGATTTGCTCCTATCGTTTCAAGTTCAAAGGAACATACGGAGAAAAAACCTTGAAGATGTTTGATGTAATCCGTATAAGCCCGATATCTCGGCCATCTCGATGGATCAGAGATTGCATCCACAACCGCATGGAGGTCTGAGACAATCGTTACCTCTGAGATGTGCAGATCCCTTAAGCTTTGCATAGCCCATATCAAGACTCTGAATTCAGCTACCATCCTACAAGCAGAGGGGGTAAAGGCTTCTCTTGCATGGTATTTGATTGTTCCTTGATGGTCACGCAGGGTCCAGGAACCACCACTATGAAGCTTATCATTGCGCCAATTTGCATTGAGGTTGCATTTAAACAAACCTATCAGAGGCGGTTGCCAATGGGAATTGACAGGACCTGAGCAACGCCTGTTACGATCCTCTTCATTTGCCTTCATATTCAGCTTGTCCCATAAGCTCGCATCTTCTATAGCATTACGAACTATCAAGTTCAAAGATTCCTGTTTACTGGCAAATAGAATGGAGTTCCTATTCTTCCAAATGGCCCATAGGATCCATGGAGTCTGCGTTCTCATCTGCGCTGCTACTGTAGTGTCTTCCATATAATCCAGCACAAAGGAGAGATTGCTTTCAAGGTTATCTGAAAAACATGAGGTAGGGGAGGGGGTGCCAGCCAAACATGAATGTTTTGAGCCATGGGACATGTAAAAAGAACATGATTTATCGACTCTACATCCTGTTGGCACATTTTACATGTAGCATTCACTGGTATGCCCCGAGTATTGAGGCGTGAAGCCACAGCCAAAGCACCTGCAACTGATCGCCAAAGGAAAACTCTAATCTTGGGGATGGTTTTCACTTTCCAACATCGGTTCATCAAGTCAAGCTTTCGTTGTTCTTGTTGAGATCGTACCGGCTCAGCAATTGTTGGGTGATTTGCTGCCAACCAATATCCACTCCGTACAGAATATGCTCCACTCTTTGAATATGCCCATATAAACCGGTCACTGGAGTTGCTGATGGTAAGCTTCAAAACTCGTTCTGCATCCATCGGAGGGAATAGATCTCTCACAGTGTTTTCTCGCCATCGACCTTCCGGTGATATTAGAGAGTTAACCTTTAATTCCAGATCGTAGAAGATTTGCTTGTTAACTGGCCTTCGGGGATGTTCGTCCATTATCCATTTGTCCATCCAGACTTTCGTATTATTCCCATTGCCAATAGATTTTAGGAGGCCTGTCTTAAGAAGTTCCCTGCCAAACAAGATGCTTCGCCAGGCATATGACGGCCTATATCCCTTCCCACAGTCGAGGAACTCTTTAGTCGAAAAGTATCGACCTTTATAGAGTCTGGAAATCAAGCTGTCAGGGTTGTTCATGATTCTCCATGCCTGTTTGGCTAGGAGAGCCTGGTTAAAAGTCTCTATATCTCGGAAATCCAGACCTCCATTCTGTTTCGATCTGCACAATGTCTTCCACGCTACCCAGTGTATTTTATTCTTCTTCTCACACGCATTCCACCAGAAGCTTGACATCGCACTAGTGATTTTCCGGCAGTGGTGTTTGGTCAGTCGAAAACATGACATAGCGTAGACAGGAAGTGCCATCGCTACTGATTTGAGCAAGATCTCTTTGCCTCCCAAAGACAGAGTCTTAGAATACCAGCTGCCGAGTCGTTTATTCAACTTGTCCCCAATGAAGGCCAGCAATTGTTGCTTAGAGCCACTCAAGCACTCGGGCAACCCCAGGTAAGTACCCGCCCCTCCTTTATCAATATTCAACAGATTAGAGATAAGTCTTCGAGATATAGGGTCGATTTCCAGCCCAAAGGTAATTGAGGATTTCTGAAAATTGATGACTTGACCAGAAGAGTCTCCATAAAGCTTCAGGCATCGCAAGAATTCAGAGCATTCTCTCAAAGAAGCACGGCATAAAAACAAACTGTCGTCAGCAAAGAGGAGATGCTGAATCGGAGGACATTTAGAAGAAAGCCTCATGCCCGAAATTCTGCCCTCTTGCTCAGCTTTATCCATTACATGAACCAGAGCCTCAGCGCATAGTATGAAAAGAAAAGGAGACAAAGGGTCACCCTGTCTGAGTCCTCTTGCAGGCCGAATAGATCCATGTTCCTGTCCATTCAGGAGAACTGTATATGACACCGATGTCACACATGTCATAACCCAGGATCTCCATTTGTCATTGAAACCCATTCTCTTAAAAAGCTCATCGAGAAAACCCCATTCCACCCTATCGTACGCCTTGGACATATCTGTCTTAATAGCTAAGAAGTCCTTTTTGCAGTGAGGATTTGTATGTAGGCCGTGGACCATCTCATGAGCTATAAGGAGATTGTCCGAGATAAGTCTTCCTGAGACAAAAGCACCCTGTGTCGGGGAGACAATCTTCGGAAGAAATCGTTTCAGGCGAGCACATAAAATGCTAGAAATTATCTTATATGTGACTGAACACAAGCTAATGGGGCGTAGATCCGTCATAGCATTCGCATTTGGCTTCTTTGGGATGAGAGCAATCTGCGTAAAGTTCCAGCCTTGAGGTAAGCAACCTGATTCGAAAAATAGCTTAACCTCTATTGCGACATGAGGGCCTGTAATATCCCAGAAGTGTTGGAAGAATTTGCCCGTCATTCCGTCGGCTCCAGGAGCACTGTCACTTTTAATACTCTTCGCTGCACGTTGAATTTCCGCATCGGTAACTGGTTTAACAAGCTCTCGATTCATATGCTGTGATATCCTTGCTGGAAAACCCTCCAACAGCTCCGCAAGGTCAGTGGGATTGGAGGATTTAAACAAAGTAGAGAAGTATTCAACAGCTATATTTCCTTTCTCTGCTTCCGAGAATCTGTCGACACCATTCACATCTTGTAGTGCTGCGATATTATTGCGCATTCTTCGCGTTTTAACTTTCCCATGAAAGAAGCTTGTATTCTTATCACCCGCAAGTAACCAGCGCTCCTTGCTCTTTTGTCTCCAATACACTTCCTCCTCTTTAATGGCCTTTAGTAATTCCAGTTTGATGTTCGCCATCTTTTGAAAATCTGGAGAAGTGCTCGCCGATTCTTTATCCAGTTCCTCACTTAATCTCTGCATATTAAGCTTGGAGTTCGAGTTTGATGAGCGCTTCCATTTGGCTAGATCTTTCCGACAGTTTGCAATTCTGTCCATGACCTTTGTCGAATCCATGACGCAGGTTAGCTTCCCAACTCTTTTTAACGATCTCCTTTGTCTCCGGTTTTTCACACCATCTTCTGTCAAAACAAAACCTCCCTTTTCGCTTGACCACTTCAGAGGCTATCTTCGTCAATAATTGAACTTTAATAAACAAAAAAGGACTTAAAAAAAAATTGTTACGACAAACTCTCACGAAGACTTGAACAAAATTGCAGTGTTAAAGAAACTTTTAAGAACCAATCTATCTTTTTTTTTTTTTTGTGGTTCATCCAAGTTAAAATTCTTTTAAGAGTGTCAATTAGAACTTATATCCAATTTGATGTCATGGGATTGGTTATGATCATATTCATTATAGAGAAAGAGTACTAACATGTGTTTTAGAGGTTTTTAATTTAGTACATATAATTAGATATAGTATTTTTATTAAGAGAATATTACCATTAGGTATACTTTTAAAAAGTCTAATTGCCAAAAAAGGCACTTTCTGAAAATGGGGTACTTATCTTATTTTTGGACTTTTTTATCCTTTATTTTATTTTATCCTCTTTACCTTATCTATGTTATTTTTTGAGCATTTTACCTTCTCTTTACCTTATCTCTAGAAATATGGTCCGCTATGCCACCGTTATAATAAATCATTTAATTTTGAATTTTTTTAAATCGCCATTCTTCTGCTAAAAACATCAGAGTTAATGGCTGAAAAGCCATAAATGAGAAAAAGAAATCTACCCTGCCACATTTGAGTCTGGGTGCCATAAGGCATGTGATATTCCAAAAATACCCTTAATGAAAAGGGGATATGGCATTGCTGACTTTTTTTTTTAATTTTGAAAATCGAAAAAATTGAGAAATGGAAATTATAAAATTCTAATACCAAAACCGAATCTGCTTCTCTCAATTTCTGGGTTAACATCTTGAACCGAAACCCGAAATCAAAAATCTTCCCCCAGAAATCGTCCGATCGAATCTCGAATCCGTCTTCGTTTATTATCGCTCGGCGCGGTGCGCCGGCCTTCTCTGAACCCGTGGTGTTCGCCAAATCTCGTTGCAGAACCGTCATTTCGTAATAAAGTAAACTTTTTCTAGAGTTTGGGGATTAGGGTTTAGTAATCGATTTGTCAATTCCGGTCGTTTTAGGTTGCACATTGGATAGTAGAGTAGCGTATATATGTCGATTTAGTCTTCTGAGTGTTAAAAATTAACTTGTTGCCGTTGAATCGAGCTGAATCGTAGGTTTGTATAGTGAATCAGTGAGATATGGGACAACTGGTACAATTAGGTTAACTGAATGGATAGGGACAACTGGTACAATTGGGTTAACTGAATGGAAAGGGACAACTGGTACAATTGGGGTAACTGAATGTAACGGGAAAACCAGTACAATTCGGGTAACTGAATGGAATGGGCTAACTGGTACAATTGGGTTAACTAAATGGAATGGGACAACTGGTACAATTGGGATAACTGAGTTGAACTGGGTTAACTGAAAGGAATGGGACAACTGGGACAATTGGGACAATTAGGACCCGGAATGTATTGGGATAACTGGTACAATTGGGATAACTGATTGAGATATGTGGGACAACTGGTACAATTGGTACAACTGTGAGAAAATACGAAATATTGTTATTCGTTAATGACTTAGTTTTTTTGGTTTTGTGAACAGAAGAGGATGAGCGGCCACACAAACATACATTTTGAGTATGGAGGATGTTATTATAAGGAAGGAGAGGAGTTTAAATGGATATCAAGAAGCTCCATCTATGCTATATCATTTAAAACCTCTTTGGATGAGGTTACATATTCGATGGTTGTATGTGGTATATGCAAGAAGATTGGGGTAAACGATAGTAAGAAGAAGCTCAAGTTAAGCTACATTCCGTTGGTAGCTAAGCCACTGAATGAGTCATGTATTGTTGATGATGGTGATGTGTATGTCTATCTAACAACTGTGGATAAAGAGGGACTTAGATCTGTGTTGCATGTGGAGATAATGGAAGATTTGGAAAGAGATAAGATTCAGAAGCTAGAAACAAGCGATATTATGCTTGAAATCGAGGAACCAGAGAAAGAACAGGACGAACTTACTATTGTGGCTGTACCTGAGACTCAGAAACAGATAGTGATTGATGATGTTGTTTCACAACCGGATGATCATGAACATGTAGAGCCTGCAGAATATGGTATGGATGAGCATGATCACGTAGAGCCTCCTGGGGCTTTAGAACCGACTCAGTTTGTTCTTGAATGGGAAGATGGTGCTGGTTTTGAGAAGAATCAAGAATTTCGATCGAAAGAGACGTTGCGAGTATTGGTTGACAGAGCTTAGCATAAGAGATGTTTTGAGGTCAAAACAGTGAAGTCTGATCCTGGGCGACTCATTCTTAAATGCCGTCAAGCGAAACATGGTTGTTCATGGTATGTACATGCTGTAAGAATGAAGAATTCAACTTACTTCAGCCTTAGAGTATACAGGAAAATGCATAGTTGCTCTCGGGTCCTTACCAGCACAATTGAGAATAAAAGAAAAGGCACTCCACAAGTTGTAGCAGATGTTTTGCGTGCTTCGTATCCAGGTGTAGTGGACACACCGGCTCCTAGAAGTATTGTGAAGGTTGTTCAAAATGAAGCTCATGTGAATGTGTCCTACTCTACTGCCTTGAGAGGAAAAAAACTCGCGATAAGTCAAGTGAGGGGTAGTCCGGAAGAAAGCTTTCAAAGATTGCATTCTTATATGTATGTGTTGAAGCTGGTGAATCCTGGTACAGTGGCGAACGTGAAAGTGGATGGTAATAATAAGTTCAAGTATCTTTTTGTTGCTTTGGGTGCCAGCATAGAAGGCTTTAGTTCAATGAGGAAAGTCATAGTCGTGGATGCGACTTTTCTTAAGAATGTTTATGGTGGTATGCTAGTATTTGCCACGGCTCAGGATCCTAATCATCACCATTACCCCATTGCAATGGGTGTAATTGATAGTGAGAAAGACTCTAGTTGGAGGTGGTTTTTAGAAATGCTCAAAACTGTTATACCAGATAATCCTGAGATTGTTTTTATGAGTGACAGACACACAAGCATAGCGAAGGCAGTGCAGGAGGTGTACCCTCAGTCTCAGCATGGATTTTGTGTGTGGCACTTGTCTCGTAATGTGAGGGTTAAAGCAGCCAATGGTTGGAAGAATTTGTGTTCTAAAAAATTCATTGAGTGCGCTCATAAGTACACCGAAAGTGAGTTTCTAATTGCATACACCGAATTTGGTAGAATGTTTCCCAAAGCTGCGGAGTACTTAGAGAATGGTCTTCCTCTTGAAAAATGGGCACGGTGGAATTTTAAAGGAGACAAGTACAACTTGGACACAAGCAATGCATGTGAATCAATGAGCAACGTCTTCAAGAAGGCGAGAAAGTATGCACTATTGCCTTTGATTGATGCGTATGTTGAGAAAGTGTCTGAATAGTTCAACATGTATAGGAATAACATAGCTGGTGCATCATATTCGAAGAAACTGGTGCCGTTTGTGGAAAACGAATTGCATAAACAATGTGCAATTGCGACCAAATTAGATGTGATTGAGCTAAATCTACCCGGGCTTGAATACAGTGTAGTTGGAGTTGATGGGAAGAGCTATCTGGTTAATTTGGATACAAAAAGCTGTGGGTGTCGCATGTTTGATATTGATAAGATTTCATGTGTTCATGCAATAGCCGCAACCATTGCAATGATGCGGACGTCCTCAAGAAGAAGAGACTTACACATTTTCGATTTATGCTCGAGATACTACTTGATTGATATTTGGGCTATGGCTTACCACAGAACCATCTATATGGTGCCGCATCATTCTACTTGGATTATTCCTGAGGAGGTTGCTAATTTAGTTGTTTACCCACTAGACTACACCAACTAGGACAACTAGGGCAACTAAGACAAGTAGGTACAAAGTGGTCAATTGGTACAATTAGGACAACTAGGACAACTACGACAAATAGGGCAACTAGGACAACTAGGACAACAGTTGACAACAAGGACAACAATGACAAATAGGGCAACTAGGACAACTAGGACAACTAGGACAAATAGGGCAACTTAGACAACTAGGACAATTATGATAACCAGGACAAACTAATTTCTTTAAATTACTAAACACTAAACAAATACAGCCTTATACCTTAACTACTGTATTCTCAACGACTACGCTTGGAAAATAAAATAAACTTATTATTTTCTGAAAATAAGATAAACCATTTGTGTTTTTAATGAAATAACCCTTATGGTATAAGGCATTCTTTGACAATAGTTTCAATCTTATAAGAGGCTAAACGTAAAAATATGGGAAATATAAAAGGATGGTCGTGAAACCCTTGGGGCAGGTATAAAATGTTCAAGGGTTGAAGGGACAACTAAAAAAACGGAATTCTTGATAAAGGACAACTGAAAAAACTTAAAAATCAACCAGAGGACAACTATGACAATTTTGGGACAACCGGACAACTAGGTACAACTATGATGTCACCAAAAAATGCACGTGTGACAATGGCGGCTGAGGATAATATTATATGTTATTTTTTCTTTTTGGTTGTCGTTTACCGTTTTCTCTTTCATAGAAAAGGGTCAAAGGGTTCTTCTCCTATTATTCACTTTCCCATTTTTTCCTCTAAATAGGTTTTTTAGAGTTTCCACCGCATCATGGATAAATATCAGAAAGCCCTCGCGAAATTGGCTGAAAAGAAGAATGATGGCTCTTCTTCTGTCTTGCCTAAGAAGGATTACGGGATGACCACTAGATGGGGACCCGAAATCAATGGAGTCAGGACCATTCTGCCATGCCTTGTACAAAAGGGAATGCCAAAGGTTTGTTATTGCGGCTTAGCTCCAATTGGGTGTTTAACTGACAACTCCGCGCTGGTCAGGGGCCGAAAATATTACGGTTGCTTCTACGGCTGTTGTGGGCCAAAAAATTTCCCAGAAGTAAGTCAATTGGGTGTTAATTTCGATTTATAAATTGAATATCATCTGAATTTTTCCGGGTTTTCAGGTTCCCAGTTGTGGCTTCAAGAAATGGTGGGATGTCGCAATACTTGAAGAGATTGAAATGCTCAATGATACTCAAGAAGCCATGCGGACTTTGTTTGACACCGTTTTCTCCAAGTTAAACCAGTTGGAGTCAAAGGTGGCATCCCTTGAGGAAGCTATAAAAAAGAGTTAAGGATGAAGAAGATGAGCTTTTCAGTTTCTTATTTACCTTTTTTCCCCATGTTATGTTGCTACTCTCCTTTGTTTTATTTTGAACTATTTCTCCTAAATAAAACTACGCAGTTGTACCAGTTGTCCTGAAAAAGCAACTGAAGTTGTACTAGTTTTTTTTAATAAATGAAGGAAATTGTACCAGTTGTCCTAATATATCGCATTAAGTTGTACCAGTTGTCCTAATAAAACAGAAAACATAAGGTTGTACCACAAAGAAAAACACATAATCTTAAACATAATCAAGACATTCTACTTCTTGGCTTTCTTGTTTTTTTTCCCGCAGGAGGATGCTTCTGGTGGTGCTGCGCGTGTTGAGGCGGATGCAGGTGGTGGTGCAGTTGATGGCCAAACATCCCAATACATGAACTCAACTTCCTCCGATGTGTCAACCAGCTTAACCTTGTAACGGTTGTTCGCCACAATTGCTCTCACTATCCCTTGATGCCAGACATCACGCTGCAACACCTCCACACGATCCAATAAAGAGTACGACGAGTTTAGGGTAGGACGTGATGCACCTGGTTGATGGGAGCCACCTGCGGGTGGATGAGAGGAGACTGGTGAGGACGCGGGTGGTGGTTGACGGGTGCCAACTGGTGAAGATGCGGATGGTGCAGAGGATTGGTGAAAGACTAACTGCTCAAGCGTCGCCACTCTTTTTTCCAACAGACCAATAGTAGCCCTCAGCTCCAACAATGATGTCGACTCAGGTGCTGGTACTTGAGGAATGTCGGCTCTGATTCCACCCCGATGTTGAATGTCTAACTCATACAAAGATCTCCAGAAGATCTTCTTCTTCTTCACCGTGAGATGATGCATCCATTCCTCAACACCTACATCAATGAGTCATATCCCATCATCATAGCCAGGATCTAATATCCGACTCAATAGTTTTTCTTCACCCGAGTCTGCAGGCTTCAAGATGCTATGAATGTCCTGGCACCAAAAAAAAAACAAATTAGTGACAAACCAAAAAAAAGAAACATAGTTGTACCAGTTGTCCTAATTGTCCCACAACCAATAATCTTTAATATTGCATAGTTGTACCAGTTGTCCTAATTGTCCCACGACCAATAATCTTTAATATTGCATAGTTGTACTAGTTGTCCTAATTGTCCCACGACCAATAATCTTTAATATTGCATAGTTGTACCAGTTGTCCTAATACCACTACCAACAAGTCAAACATAGTTGTACCCTATTGTCCGATAACCAAACCCATCAAATACTAACTTTTGCACTTGTTCCAATTGCTGAGTTTATATCATCCAATGGAAATGCCTTTCATGCATACATCGGTGAACTTGTGCTTGCACATCCTCGGACAGTCTTTCTCTGCAGGTATGGCTTCTCGAAATTTGCGGCCAAGGCTAGGAATACACTCAAAAGCAAGTATCTACACAAAAAGTCAAAAAATTAAACCCTAAATTATGTAAATAAATTAACTTCTATAAACTATTGAATGAGAATTACCTGTAGAGGAAGAATGAAACAGACAAGGGACATTCTGCTTTTTTGTCTTTCATGCTGTCACTAAACTTTGCCATCACACGCCGAATCTCCTTCATCATGTCATCGAATGTGTAACGCCCCCAAGGAAATGATTTACACACATTCAAATCACTGACAACTCTGAGCAAGAACGGATCAATGTTACCATCAGTCTTGTATTTCGCCTTCACTACCTTGCATAAAAACCAGAGGAGGGCCATTTTCTTCCTGTCCACAGAGGACTCCTTCATTTCATTTAATTTTTCTTCCACCTCCCCAATCTTGATTTTATCCGCCCTACCAAAGTGCTTCTTAACAAACTTTGTGTTCCCCAAATTGTTGTAGTCAGCCGGGTAATCACGACAGTCAAGTCCACTCAAAAGTGCATGCTCTCCCAGAGAATATCTTATCGGAACTCCGTTAACAACAAACCAGCACTCACTAAGCCTATCAGTATGAGCAGTGTGAAGGAGAAGCATCCACAACCCTTGAATCATGTGGTTGGGCTCCTTGAACATGTGAAAAATATGCTTAAATTGAGGATGCGCTCTGAACCATGCTTTCTCCTCATCAAGCTTATCAATCTTGTCCACAACAGCTCTAACTGAGCGCCTTGTCAATATCCTACAACCCTGGCTGTACTCGGTTGGACCGAAGTAAAGCTTCTCAGGCACCATCGGTTGACTACCATCATCGGCATCCTGAGATAAAAACAAGAAACACAATCATATGAGATTTAGTTGTCCCAGTTATCCCAGTTGTCCAAATGCCAAACATAATTCGTGCAAATAGTTATCCTAGTTGTCCTAGTTGTCCGAGTTGTCCTAGTTGTCCAACGACCAAACATAATTTCATCAAACACAGTTATCCCAGTTGTTCCAGTTGTCCAAATGCCAAACATAATTTCGTGAAAATAGTTGTCCTAGTTGTCCAACGACCAAACATAATTTCATCAGACACAGTTATCCCAGTTGTCCCAGTTGTCCAAATGCCAAACGTAATTTCATCAGACACAGTTATCCTAGTTGTCCCAGTTGTCCAAATGCCAAACATAATTTCGTTCAAATAGTTATCCTAGTTGTCCTAGTTGTCCAACGACCAAACTTAATTTTGTTTATAGTATACTTACCTCTAAATCTTCATCTGCCTCTTCGCCATCCTCTTCTTCCGCTGCATTTTCTTCCTCTTCATTTCTTTCCTCTTCATTTCCTTCCTCTCCTTCTCCCTCGTCGTCTTTCTCGGGTGTCCCCCCTCCCTCTTCGTTTGCTTCTTTCTCGGATTCCTCTTCTCCACTATCTTTCTTGGATTGCTCATCCTCGACTTCCTCTTCTCCTGTTTCCTTCTCGGATTCCTCTTCCTCGGCTTCTTTCTCTGATTTCTCTTCCTCGCCTTCTCTTCCTAAAGCCTCATCCTCAGATACATCTCCCTCGCCTTCTTTCTGGGATTCTACCACACCCTCTTCCTCGGCTACTGTATCCGCTAAACCCTCTTTCTCAGGTTCTTCACGAGATTTCAACCGCTCCTTTGGTTGATCCGTCGCACCCTCGTCCATGGGTGTTGGTGCGGTTTCAGGGGCTTCTTTGGTGGTTTCCGTACCGGCTGGGTCTGCTTCCATCAATGATTCTTCTTCACCCCGAGTTTCTTCATGGGTTGTTTCTTCATCATTCGCTGGAGGGTTTGGTGTTATCCCGGGGTCTTTATCTTTCATATCTGCTTCTTCGCTGCGCTTGGGTACAGATTCGTTCGAATCATATACCACGCCCTTTAGTTGAATTTTAGCCATGGAGTTAGGGTGGATTTAGGGTTTGTCTTGATGAAGTTCGAAGGCTAAATTGTAATAAATAGTACGGGCAGTTGAAGAAGGGGAAGTTAAAGAAGGAGCAGTTACAAAATCGAGTGTCGTTTCAAGGGGGAAGTTGCAGAATTTTCGGAAGAGAGAAGGAAGTGGAGATAGCCGTTCGGGGAAGATGAAGAGAGAAAGGAGGAGTTTGATTTGAGCTCGGTTTTAAGTTTATCAAATTTGTTTGGTTTTCAAAATTAAATCTACTCGGTTCGGTTTTGTTTACCCAATTTTCGGTTTAACAATTTCAATTTTTTTATTTTCTGATTTTAAATTGAATAAGTTTTTTTTTAAAGAAATTCCATTTTTTAGAATATTCGAGTCAGGTATAATACGGGTGGGTTTTACATAGTATTTTCGTGATTATAGAGACACTAGGTGTTTAGCCTGCGACTTGCGCGGGCCGAAAAGTTTCATTAAAACCTAAAATAAAATTTTATGGCATAAATCAAAAATAGTTAGATCAAGAATTTGATACATACAAAATTAAAATAAAGCTAATCTATGAAAGTAATCATTGTCTAACATTAAAAACTTTAAAATCAATACTAATAAGTGTATGAAATCAATAAACATAAATTAAAATAAGATTAATATAAATTATTCATCTTTTTCTCTTTTTATCCTTTAATTTTTTTTCTCTATCATTTTCTTCTTTCTTTCTTTTTTTGTTTTTTTGTTTTTTTTTCTTCTTTATTTTCTATGTCTTTTTTTTTACTTTTTATTCTGCTGGTTTTTCTTTTTGACGTCTCTTCTCTTCTCTAC